TTTTCCTCTTTGATTATTTTTTCCCTTTACTGTACTACCTCCCATTGTTGGTTTTCATTGTTATTTTCCATTTCCTCTTCCTGTAATGTTTTGCCGAGGATGTTTTGAAGAGATGGTTTTCCAGCTGCAAATTCTTTTAGCTTTTGTTTATCCTGGAAGGTTTTAATTTCATCTCCCATCCTGAAGCTTAATTTCGCTGGATACACAATTCTTGGTTGGAACCCATTTTCTTTCAGTGTTTGAAATATGTTATTCCAGGATCTTCTAGCTTCTTCCAGAGTCTGTGTTGAAAGATCAGCTGTTATCCTGATTGGTTTACCCCTAAATGTAATCTGCTTCCTTTCTCTTGAAGCTTTTAAAATTCTCTCCTTATTCTGTATGTTGGGCATCTTCATTATAATGTGTCTAGGTGTTCATCTCTTATGATTTTGCACGTTCGGCGTCCTGTAGGCTTCTAGGATTTGGGATTCTGTCTCATTCTTCAAGTCTGGGAAGTTTTCTCTTATTATTTCATTGAACAGATTGCTCATTCCTTTGCTTTGGACCTCTATACCTTCATGTATCCCAATGACTCTTTAAGTTTGGTCTCTTTATGTTATCCCATATTTCTTGGATGTTCTGCTCATGGTTTCTTAAGAGTCTCGCTGAGCTGTCTATGTTTTTTTCAAGTTGAAATACTTTGTCTTCATTGTCTGATGTTCTATCTTCTAAGTGTTCTACTCTGCTGGTTGTATTCTCATTTGAGTTTTTAAGTTGGTTTATTGCTTCCTGCATTTCTAGGATTTCTGTTTGTTTGTTTTTTATAACCTCTATCTCCCGGTATAGTTGATCCTTTGCTTCTTGGATTTGTTTATGTAATTCATTGTTGAAGTGATCTTTCATTGTCTGATTTTGCTGTCTAATGTCTTCCTTGATACTCCAGATCATCTGAAGCATGTAAATCCTGAATTCTTTATCTGACATTCCATCTGCTGCAGCTATTACCTCTTCTAAAGTTGAGTTGACCTGCATTGCTTGTGGTCCTTTCTTTCCTTGTCTTTTCATACTGCTCGCGTTTCTTTCTGCTTGGTGAAACTGTTGTGTTATTGAATTTTCCCCCTATATATTTATATTGCTCTTGTATAGTTGCAAAGTCTCCCTTGCAGGGGCGGGCGGTGGCTGTGCCCCTCCTCCAATTGGGGTGATCTTTCAACTAGGCCGTTGGGCCGCTGGGCCCCTTCTCTGGGACACGCGGTCTGCCTACCTTGAGGGCGGCACCTGGGCCCTTCCTCCAATTGGGGTGATGTGTCTACCACGCCAGCAGGCTGCTGGGCCTGTTCTGCCGGTCGGTCGCAGGTCTGCCTACCTTGCAGGCGCAGGCGGCGGGCGGCAGCTCTTATTTATTTAATTTTAATTTTGGTATAAACCTGTTTTTCTAGAGATTGAAACCAGGGGTGCTTAACCACTGAGCAATATTCCCCCGTTTTTATATTTTATTTAGAGATAGGGTCTCACTGAGTTGCTTAGGGCCTCACTAAGTTGCTGAGGCTGGTTTTGAACTTGCGATCCTTCTGTCCCTCATGAACTGCTGGGATTACAGGAGTGTACTACTGCTTCCAGCATCCTCCCTTATTAAGTGAAATTGACTTTTTATTTTACTTTCTTTTGTATGCTAGTTTATTAACAAATGAATTTTGGTGTTGTGGTTGAGGAAAAAACTAAACAGTTAAATGAAAAAGGAATAAACACATAAACTAGAATGTAAAATTATATATGTGTATGTTTATTCTTCAAATTAAAGATAAATAATTTTTAAAAACCAACTTGCACCAAAACTGTTTTTTTTAACTTTTCTATATCCCATTTGCTTTGATGATTCTTTAGAAAATCATGTGTATTAGGGGATGTCCCTGCAAAATCTCTGCAGTAAAGGGTATGAGGGGATAAACATCAGAAAGGAAATACTCAGTTTTACTAGAACCCAAGTTTCTGTTTATTTATTATTCAACAGCTGCATAAATTGAAAAGGGCAGTCAAGGAGTTATCTCGTGCCATCCACTTTCAGCCAGATGGAGTCCAATTATATATAATAAGGTATGAGCATAGAAATTGAATTCTTAAGATAACTTCACATCTAAGCAATCTGTTGGGATCTTTAGTTCTCTCTTGATTCTTTAACTTCCTATTTTACATTTACTCTCTGGGCAATGGCCATCTCCCAGCCAGCAAGCCAGAGGCAATTCTTGTTTTTGCTAAACTTTAAGATAACATTACATAATATAACTGGATCTTCCCTTGCATCAAAACATAACTGCAAGTTTAAGATCTTTAGGCCTTTCTAGGTTGATGGTTATGTAGTTAGTATGTATCTCACGAGAGCAAGGTAATACATTTTGAACAGTTGTTTTGAATATGTTAACAGAGGTGCCCAAAATAATTGTTAGCTAATTCCATAAAAAAAATAAGTGGCACAAGAATTGCATTTGAAATGTAGTAGAACTTGGACTAAGGAGACATTTTACAAATTATTACTTCCAAAAATATAATCTCTAAGGATTAATAGAACTGGGAAAAGAAAGTGGAATTTTTTTTTTTCAGTACTGGACTTTGAATCCAAGGTTTTATATATGCTAGACAAATGCTCTACCACTGAGTTATATTCCCAGCTAGAACAATTTTTTTTTTTTTCCCGAAGAATGCTTGCTTTGTGTTTTAAGCCTTGAACCACATTTTAGCAATTTATGGAAAGTTTTCCTCATTTTATGTCCCTTAAATTTTAATTTTTAAGTAATTTCTCAGCAACAAAGTAAAGCAGTTTAAATGCAGATAATTGCAAAAAGAGATGACTGTTTTTCTTGTAGCATCACATTTTCTAAATTGTTTCATCACACATCCATGTAAATCAGTCTATTTAGACTATAAAATGTCTGTAATGTATTGCTTTTTATGCATGCATATATAAATATAAATATAATCAATGTATTGTAGCTGTAAAATTTTAAGTAACTGAGTATAAGAAACTTTATTTTAGAAAAATTATTTTTATCAGCTTAGAATCAAAAAAATATTATTTTTTTCCAGAGGACAATATCTTCTTATGATGAAGTGTTATGATCTGGCAAAGTTCACTATTTATCAAGTAGCAGAAATGAACCGTGGTAAATATAATTAATTGAAAATTATAATTGTTTTAATTTAAGAAATACCTTTTTAGAACTTTTGTACTACTTTCAGTAACTACACATAGATGGCATAAAGGTTTTAGTTGAAAGACAAAGATTTGGAAACTTCAGATTATATGTAAATAAATTGGTAAAATGATCCACAATATATTACAATGAACTTTGTGAAAGAGGTTATTTTTATAGGAATTACTAGGCTTACAATTTTGCTGTTTTTTTTGTAATTGGAATATCTTATGTTTCTTGAAAGTAAATAGATTTTCATATAATATTGAAAATTCATATTATAAAGAGATTTTTTTAATTGCTTGATTTTGTTAAAATAATTTTATTTGAGATCCTTCATACTTGGCAAAGGTACTGATAAATTTTCCTTTTCTCTTAGGTCTCATTGAGTTGAGCCCAATACAGCAAGTAATCATTTATTCATTTTGTGAAAACCATGAGAAGGCCATTCAGGTCTTGGAGGAGAGCTCGTGGAGTAAGCCAGAAGTAACCATGTTTATCATAGCAAAAACACTAATGAAGGCCAAGAAATTCAAGGTGAAAGGTCCTCTGAGTAATGTTTACTAAACCTAGTAATGAAATTCATATATCATGCTTAGTATGACATTTAAATATTATTTACAACTCTATATTATTTACATACTATTAATTTTATACTAGTATTTATTATATTATTTATTCAGTCTTTTATTAAAATTTGCAATTACTTTTTCATTTTTCTATGATTATAATTCTTAACATATTAACTGTACAAATTAATGGATTTTACTGTGACATTTCCTATATGCGTAATGCATATATTGTGTATTGACCATATTCATCCTCCCTTCTTTTTCACTCTCTCTTTTCTGTGTTCTCGCTCCCTGGACCCCTTCAGTCCATAACCATCCCTCGTCTACATTTAGGTCATCTTCCTCCCCCCGACCCCGTTTCCACATATGAGAGAAAGTATGTGGTATTGTTTATGTCTGGTTTATTTTGCTTAACATGATTTCCTCCAGTCCTATCCATTTTCCTGCAAATGACATGATTTCATTCTGCTTTATGAATGAATAAACACTCCATTGTGTATGTATACCATATTTTCTTTATTTGTTAATCTGTTGATGGACAGCTGTATCTTGACTATTGTGAATAGCACTGCAATAAACTTGGGCTTCCAGATATCTCTTTCTGTATGCTGACTTCATTTCCTTCAGGTGTATACCCAGAAGTAGTACAGCTGGGATTATGTGGGAGTTCTGGTTATAGTTAGTTAGGTAGTTTGTTTATTGTTTATTGGAAGTTCCTTACTGTTTTCCATAGTAGTTGTACTAATTTACATTCCCACCAACAGTGTACATGGATTCCTTTATCTCCATATCTTCCCAATAATTGTTACTTATTTATTTTATTTTTTATAGTGGCTATTCTAACTGGGGTGGGAAGGAATCTCTGTGGTTTTGATCTGCACTTCTCTGATGAATAAAAGTATCGAGCTTTTAATTTTATATATTTATTAGCCATTTGTACTTCTTTTGAGAAGTGTCTGTTCAAAGCCGTTGTCCATTTGTGATTGAATTACATTTTTTGTTGTTAGATTTTAAAATTTTCTTTATATGTTCTGGATATTAGTCCTCTGTCAGATGAATGGCTAGCAAAGATTCATCCTTGCAGGTGGTCTCTTTACTCTGTTGATTGAGTCCTTTGCTGAGCAGAAACTTTTCAATTTGATGTAATCCCACTTTTTTTTTTTTTTTGCTTTTGCCTCCTGAGCTATTAGAGTATGATTTAGAAAATTATTGCTGGTATCAGTATCTTGAAATGTTTTCCCTATATTTTTCTAGTAGTTTCAAAGTTTCAGGTCTTACATTAAGGTCTTTGATCCATTTTGAATTGAATTTTTAGACAGGGTGAGAGATAGTTTCAATCTTTTACCTGTGAATATCCAAGTTTCCCCAGCACCATTTGTTGAAGAGGCTGTCTTTTCTCCTTGTATGATTTTGGCACCTTTGTTGTGAATTAGTTGGCCAAAGAGGCGTGGGTTTAGGCCAGTCTGTCACTGGCCTACATGCTAATGCCATGCTGCTAATGTTACTCTGCAGTATGTTTTAAAATCGGGTGTTGTAGTGTGTCTAGCACTGCTGTTTTTGCTCAAGATTGCTTTGGCCATTTGTAATGTCTTTTGTGTTTCCAAATGAATTTTAGAATTTTTTTTTCTAGTTCTGTGAAGAATGTCATTGGAATTTTGATGTGGATTGCATTGAATCTGTAGGTCACTTTGTGTAGTTTGGCAATTTTAATGATATTAATTCTCCCAAGCCATAAACATTGGAAATCTTTTTACTTTCTAGTGTCTTCTTCAGTGTCTCTCCACAGTGTTTTGTAATATTCACTGTGGAAGTCTTTCAAATCCTTTGTTTATTCCTAGGTATTTTATTTGTGGTTATTGTGACCATGATAACTTTTTTGATTTTTTTTCTTGGCAAGTTCATTATTGGCATTTAGAAAAGCTGCAATTTTTGTGTGTTGATTTTGTATCCTGCTACTTTAATTTATCAGTTCTAAAACTCTTCTAGTGAAGTCTTTAAGATTTTTTGTGTATACAATAGTATCATTAGCAAACAGGAATAATTTGACTTCTTTCCTTTCTGTTGTATTCCTTTTATTTCTTTCTCTTGCTTCATTTCTCTAGTTAAAATTTCTGTTACTTAATAAGACTGATGAGAATTTATGCTTTTGATTTATTCCTAATCTTAGAGGAAATATTTGCTGTTTTTCCCCATAGAGTATGAGGTTGGTAATGAGTTTGTCATATAATAGCCTTTATTATGTTGAGGTATGATCTTTCTGAACCTAATTTATTCAGGGATTTTACAATAAAGAGATGTTGAATTTTATAAAAGACTTTCTTCATCTATAAAGGTGATTGGGTGATTTTAATCATGATTCTATTTATGTGATGTATTATATTTATCAATTTGCATATGTTGAGCTATCTCTTGCTTCCTTGAAATGAAGCCACCTTGATCATGGCATATGATCTTTTTAATGTGCTATTGAATTTGACCTGTTAGTATTGTGTTGAGGATTTTTGCACCTGTGTTCATCAGAAATATTGGTCTGTCATTTTCTTTTTGTTGTTTTGTGTCTTTATTAGGTTTATAGAAGGGTAATACTTGGTTTGTATTATTTTCTGTTTCATTGAAATCTTTTATTAGTCTCTTCCTGCTACTTTTATTGAAAGGGATATTTCCTTGTTATTTGTTTTAAATGTTCCATTGGATACTTATTTCATTAATATTCAAACTTTATTTTTTTATAATATAAGTGTGAGTCTGTTTTGTGCTGCTATAATAGAAAATAACAGATTGGGTAATTCGTAATGATTAGAAATTTATTTCTGTCAGTTCTAGAGGTTGGGAAGTTCAAGATGAGGGTTCTGGCATCTTATGGGGATCTTCTTACTGTGTCATTCCATGGTAGAAGGTTGGGGGGCAAAGAGGGGTGTGTGTTGGGAGAGAGAGAGAGAGCAAGAGAGGAGGAAAAATCAATAGGGAGCTGAATTCTAAGCTTGTTCTTTATAAAGTCCCAATCCCATGATAATGAACCATTCTAGCAACTAGTGGCATTTAATCCATTGATCATTAGTCACTTTTTAAACGTTCCATTCTCAATACTGATACATTGGGTGTTAAGTTTCCAGTTTGTGTTTTGGGGGGAATACATTCAAACTACAGCAATAAACAGCATTTACAAGTTATGGTCAATTTCATAAATATTTTAAAATTTATGATAAGATTTCATTTTTTTTAAAACAAACACATTTTTGGGTCTGGAGTTGTTGCTCAGTGGTAGAGCACTTGCCTGGCATGTGTGAGGCCCTGGGTTTAATCTTTATCACCACATACAAACAAACAAATAAATAAATAAAACAAAAGTCTTTTGACATCTAAAAAAAGTTTTAAAAAGAATACATTTTTAAAAGTTTCTTTTCTTTTTAATTTGCAAATACAGTGTAAAATGGCTATTCTGCTTGATACTGATTCTTTGAAATATGCTCAGAATTATTCATGCCTTAGTTTTGTAAATCTTCCATGTCTGAAAAATATGCATTTTCTCATTGGTATGTTTTATATATGTTTAGTAGGTCTCATTTTTAATGTGTTTTTCACATGCTTATTTTTAACTAATTGATCTATCAATGACTGAGGTATTTTTAAATCTCCCATAATGATATTGGATACCAAGATTTCTCTGTAATTCTTTAAGTTTTGTTTTATGTAACTTGAGGCTATTTTTAATTTTATACATTTTAAAATTGACATCTGTGTATATATATATATATATACACACACACACACACACACACACACACATATACACACATATATACATACATATAGAATACAGTATTGAAATTTGATACATGTATTATTAGTATATCATATATAAAATCAGGACAATTAGTATTATCATCTCCTCAAATATTATCATTTCTATGGTTTGGGAAACTTCAAATTCTTCTCCTTTACTAATTTGAAAGGCATAATTAATTGTCAAAGAAATTATTTTTGTTATAGATCCTCAATTTTAGAATTATTATACTTATCTGATGAACTGAACTTCTATCATTACATAGTGACTCCTCTATCACTACGTATAATACTTGCAGTGTTTACTTTGATGCTATACTGTGTTAGTTTTTCATCACTGTGACTAAATTACCTGACATAAACACCTTTATTGCAGAAAAGATTTATTTTGGCTCACAGTTTCAGAAGTTTTATAGTCCATGGTCTGCTGACTCCATTATTTCTGGGTCTGTGGTAAGACAGAATATCATGGTAGAGGGGCGTGGTGAGGGAGAACTGCTCACTCCTTAGTAGCTGGGAAGCAGAGAGTGAGCCAGAGGAAGGGGCCAGGGACAAGATCTACCTTCCCTGGATATGCCCCCAGGACCTACTTCCTCCAATTATGTGCAATCTCCTAAAGCTTCCAACCACCTTCTAATAATGCCATCAATTTATGAATCCATCAGTGTAATAGGGCATCAATAAGAGAGCCTTCATAACCCAATCACTTCCCCAGACCCCCCCACCTCTAAACATTGCTACACTGGGCACCAAGCCTTAAGCTCAGGAGTCTTTGAGGGACACTATTTCCAAACATAGCAACCTACTTTATTTTGAAAAATAGTATTTTAATGTATGTCTTTTTTTCTTTTACTTTTGACTTTTCCATATCCTAGGTTATAGGAATGTCTTATAAACAGTTTATAAAAGGCTTTTAAAAATTCATTTTGATTATATCTTTGTTTTACATGGAAAATTTTGGTTCAGCTCCTACTGATAATGAGAATTCTACTATTAGATTATCTTTCCCTTTTTGGTATATTTTTTCTTGTCTCTGATTATTTTTTAAAATTTTCTCTTTTGTTCTATAAAGTTGTATATATATGATATATGACATATATACTATATATAATATATTACATATAATATATATTATATAATATATACTATACATTTTAAAACACAAAAATAAATAAATGCATA